ATAGGAGGGTCATTGTGAAGTCTTCTCTCTCTCTCCAAGGATGTCCACCAATACATAGCTTGTCCTTGGAAAGCTAAGGTGGCCAAGGGAACTTTTCTTTCCTCACCTACTTGATGACAAGTGAAGATTTGCTCCACTTTCATCTCCCAATCTAAGTAGGCATCCACATCCTCTTTCCCATGAAAGTAAGGGAGATCAACCCTTGATTCCCTCACTTTAGGTTCCTTAATGACTCTTCTAGGTTTGGGTTGATAATATTCATCTATTTTCAAACTACCCTCATCCTCTTGGCTTGGAGAGTCATTGGAACTCTTGGTTGAACTTTTTGAAGAACTTTTTTGACTTTTTCTTTTGTTAATTTTTTTCAAAAGTTTTTCTTCTTGTTGCTTAATCTTGTTTATCTCTTCCTCAAGAGCAATAAGTTGTACTTCTCTTTCAATCTTTTCTCTTTCTTTTTGAAGTACTTCTTGTTGCTTCCAAAGTTTTAGTGCTTCAACCTCCTTCATAATTCTTGAAAAACTTTTAGGAGATTCAAGATCACTATCACTTTGAGAAATATGACTCATGATTAAGCAATAAGAATTTTATATGCTATGCAAAAGAGATAAAATATTTTTGGTATTTTCTAGGAACAAAAATAGCACTTGGAAGTCTAAGTGTACAAATTGCACTATCAAGGGAGGTGAGCTACTAAGAGCCACTTAATAACCAAGCCTTTTCAAGTGGAAATCACTAAACTCCTTTGTGGTATTTTCAATTCCCCAAAACTTTTCACAAAAATTGTTTTTGTATGCTTTTCACAAATTGTCTTTGAAGCTAACTAAGCGTGAGCAATTAAAACTACACAAGTCTAGACGAATTAGGGCAGCAAAGTAAAACACAATTAAGATCACACAACTTAAAGGAAACAAGTAAAGCAACTAGTCGGTTTGCCCTAAGTGGAAGCTTGAAACATATGAAATTTCCAAGCCACTTCCACTAGTACTACACGTGAGTAGGCTACCAAGAAATTAGATATACCTAACCAGCTTCTTAATACTCCCTCCAAGCTTTACAAATTGATTTAAAAATACAAAAGCATTGGCAAAATTTAAACTAAACTAGAAAGCAAATAATGGCGACTTTTGTGACCAAATTAGTGACGGATTTGTTGTCCAATGTTCTAACACTTGTTCAAGTATTTCAATCCGCCACTAATCCTTGAATGAAGTTTCTCCTGGACCTGCACAATGAACACAACAAAAATGATTAATGTGGGCTGCTCACAAGGTGAAAGGAATGATCACTCTTGTGAAGGTAGTTTAGGAAAAATTTGGTCACTAAATTAGGTCAAATTTTGTAGTCTTAATGTCCAAATCTTTTCCTACTCTTTGTTGAGTCAATGCTTGATCCTTAAGCAAGGATTTGAGGCCACTTCCAGCACAGAATGATTAATGAAAGAAAAACAAGACAAGCAACAAAAGCACAATTTAAGAAATTTATACCAAAATTTGAAGATAATGTGTATATGATAAGACTCAAAGATGTCCAACAAATAAAACTGAAAAATAAGACTCCAAAGAAGGCTAGCACTCAGATGGAAAGGTTCCTAGATAAGTACTAGAGTAGATTAATAACACAAATTTTTTTTGAAGGAAATTGAACAAGTATACACAAAGTAGTAGTCTAAAGAAAATTAAGGAATCAAGTGAATTTTCTAGTTTCTACTCTTCTCGGCTTTTTCCTTTTAAAATGTTTTGTATATACATATTTTTTTTATTCTTTCTTTTTCTGAATTCAAATTAAGATTCCAGAGAAGGTATTTGCCTTTTGTTTTCAAATTTTTCACAATTCCAAGATATAGTAACTGAGACTACAAGTTTGTCAAATTTCAAGTGAAAAATAGTGAAGCTAGTGCACTAATTTTTAGGTTTTGACTTGGATTCTTTTGCTCACTTTTTTTTTTTTAACTTTTTGAGACAATATGCTCTGTATTTTCCTCTGTTTTTCAGCCTCTATAATTTTAAAATTTGAATCCAAAAGAGATAGTGCACTAGAAGTAGGATTAAACACTTGAAATTTTAAGTAACACAAAATTTTTTAAGAATTTTCAATAGAAAGTGATTTGAAAACTTAAGTATACAATGGATACCTAACTCTAAAGAAATTTGCTAGAACTAATAGCAAATTATGAACTCAATAAGGTAAAATAAAAAGCACATATAGGTAGGCAAAAGAGAAGCAATCCGAGACCAAAATGTAGACAAACAAATCAAATCAAAACTAGGTTAAACATGCTATTCAAGGAATTTGTAACATATAAGGACTAAACAAAACTCTAAGACAAAACAAGGATTAAAAACCAAAATCTAATGCAAATGAATGAGGTCCAATCACGGACACATGCAAGGAATGGAGAGACTCAAATAATAGCAAAATAAGCACAAGCAAATAGGTCCTAAAACATGTTAATTATGGAAGAATTCAAAACAATCAAACAATGGATCTATGGAACAAAGTTTGCTTCAAAACAAGTAGATCTGAAAAGAGACTCAAACAAGACAATTAGAAAACAAAGAACACAAGACACACGGACACAAAAAGATGAAGAACACTTATCTCCTTGAAGACCTTGCTCTTGATACAAAAAATGATGGAGAAGGTAGGAGAAGTGGAAGTAGTGCTTCTCCTTAGCTTCACCTTAGCTCGGATCTTCTTCAAAGGAGATGGAAACCGAATCAAGAACACTTGGAATGGATGAAGTTCTCAGATGAATGGAGGCCTAAGCCTTGGATGGAAGTATCCAAGCTCAAGGAGCAATGGATTGCTCACATCAAAGAGAATGAGGGAGATGAACTTCCTAGGGCTTTTGAGGTGAACACTCACGGTGACTTTGAAGAGAAACTTGGCAAGTATTTGCTCTCAAATTTTATTAAACTCAAAGTAAAGTTTACAATGTGTGAAGGAGGCATTTAAAGGATCCGGAAGCAATGCACTTGGCGCCAATGTGAAAGCCTCACATGTGGCGCCAAGTTTTGAATTCAAATTTCAAAAATTTGAATTCAAAACTTAACTCACATGTGTGACCGGTCACACTTAGAGCTAGGTGCATTTGGCTTTGATTTAATATGTATTTAGGGTTAATTTTGAGTCACACATGTTCAGCCATGGTGGCGTCAAACATGTGACTCAAAATGTAACTTAAATACATCCTAAATTAAACCTAGTTTAACCTAATCTAATTAAACTACAAATCCTCCTTAAACCCTAATGTAATGACCTAAATACAATGGTCAAGAAAATACAATGAATAAGAAAAATTACAAGAAGAAGAATAAGCCCAATATTGGGTATCAAAAGCTCAAAGCCCATGAAGCCCAATTACAAACCCAAAATACACAAACCCTAATCTATGGTCAAAATACAAGACCAAAATCAAAGTAACTTCCTATTCTAAGAATGTGCTATAAAACATGGTGTTCAATCAAGTGTAGTCCAAGTAAGAAGCACTCTAGGCCCTCCAAGCCCATTGGGCCCACTAAGCTCTGAAGTTGACAAGTCTTCAAGTAATCTCCTGGTCATGGCTCTAGTGGTTGAGCTTTTAGCCCATGCTCTTCCATCATATTTAATTTTATTTTATAAAAATTTTAACTATTTAATTTTCCTTCCTTTGAATTTCTACGCCATCCTATCATTTTGCCACATGTTTAGACCGATCCGAATACCATAAAAGTTACGCATTAAAAAATGCCAAACCGATGATTGAAAAGTTACTAATTGAATCTAACATACATATGATTATGTAACTTTTATTTAATCGAATCTTTCTTTTTGAAATTACATAACTTATAAAATAAAGTCTTACATGCAGCTTCTTTCAATATAAACTATAAAGTTGTTATAATTAAGCCTTCAAGTGTACGACAAATTGCACATGCTTGATTTGACCCGTACATTCTGCTTCTTTGTGTTGTTATTCAAACTATCATTATTTATATAATATCATTTTTTTTCTCTCCATTTGTATCCAAAATCCATCACATTATTTTTTCACTTATTTCTTCCCCTTTTCCTATCATCGAACTTCATGTTCTGTCCTTCTAAGTTCTAACCCCTTTAATTTCTACGTGCATGTGTGAACAAGCTAGAATAAGATAATTAACAAGGTGCACTATCAGACAAAAGACATATTCTGACTAGACACATTAACACAATAACTGAAATGAAACATTTGGAAATAAACGGTTTGAATTCATTGAAGCAAGATTGGAAAGTTGAATTAAGTCCAAAAAGACTCTCTCTTAAGAGGCTCATGATGGTCTTGGAATACATTGGAAGATGAGGAAGAAGATGAAGGAAAGCTAAGATAGTGAGGAAGGATTTCGTAGTTGTTATTGTTTTCACATAGAAGCAGTGATTTGTGATCCTCTTGGTCAACTACTTGTGTGGCCCCTAAGGTAGGGTCTTGTTGCTGCATCTGGATGCATAGAATCTCTGCCTGAGCCACTGCAAGCTGCATTTGCAATTGTGAAACCTGGCTTTGTAGGTATGATATGGCTCCAACACACCCATATACTGGGTCTCTCACTCTTGCATTTGCCTCATAAACTAAACTGCTCACAGCATCTGCTCTTTGATGAATTGGAAGCTCCTACACACACAAGAGTAACACAACATTTAGTGAATCCTATTACATAATCACTGCAAGAAAGGCATCTGTTGGAAGTACGAGAGGATCGTTAAAAATGGAGAAAAACTCAATTTAAAAATACACAAATAAATTTGACATCATATCTTAATTCAACCGTAAGATATCAAGTTTGAGTCTTTCTCACTCATCAATTATACTTATATATTGCTTAACAATTTCTTATCAATTATACTTATATATTGCTTAACAATTTTTTCTCTATTGAATATAATAATTTTCATTCATACTTACATACTACCAATGATGTTTACATATGAGTACTTTAGTTTTTTTTTTTTTTTTTACTTTTTGGTACATAAAATGGTAGATAAAGATCAATGATACCCTTAAAAATTCTTAATTAAACCAAACATCATTGTCTATTTATTAATTAGTTAATTGAAATTAAATAGTATTCAGTTTAAATTAAGACCTTACTTGTCAAATTAAAAGCTAGCAAAAGTTTATCAAAAACATTTCATCTTCGAAATCAATGTCCCTTCGAATATGATTTAGTGTAAATAAGCTCTAAAAAAAATTCTGCCTAATAATATTTTGGTCAAAATTATGATAATGACATCAATCGAACCTAAAAATGTGTATATACTACGTACCCAAATTCTCCATTATTAGGATAACCCTAGTGGTATATTACCATTAATGTTTAGTACAAGTAAAACTCTACCCGCTCATTATTGTCTGAAGTTCTTGTAGTGAACCAAGACCAATACAGGATGCAAGTAACTACAAAAGGTTCCAGAAAGAGATTTTTATGGGAATACATTTTTTAGATGGAACCAAAAATTACCTGTCCCAATTACTTATTATAGATTTCAATCATCTGTTTGCGGGAAGAGATTACATTTAGACGAAATCAAAGTAATTACGTACATATCCCCATATGTCATGTTGCTTCTCCAATTTCCCCAATTGAAAAGAGGTACATGAGTAAAAACAATTAAAAACCAGAAAAGAGAATGTTGTGTTTTTTAATTAGGTGCCACTTTTTAATTGAAAGGACTGGAAGGCAGAGAAGAAATTAACAAAAACAAGGGCTTTCAAATGATTCTGGAGACGAATGTGAAACATAACTTGCATAATATTTTATACGCATTATTAACTGTTTATTTGAATAATTTCTTGCAATACGCATAGATATCTAGAAAATCAATCGTATAGATTAAAGAGAAAGAAGGGTAACTAATTAAGATCAGCCTAATTGTGGAGTAATTTTCACACAGACTTAAATTCAAACATTATATCCATTATTAACACATAAAAAAAAATAAAATAAAAAAGAGTAAGGAATTTAGAGATACCTGCAGCATCTTACTGATATTGCTAGCACCAAAGACCTTATGTACAATGGCAAACTTTCTGGGGTCATCAGAAGGAAAGTAAGGTGCAAAGATGCATTCCTTGGAGCAACGGCGTCTCAACAACTTGCAAGAAGCACAAGGAGAGGTACCCCCCATTTGGAAGATATATAGATACAATAGAGTCACAAGCCAACAAAACAAAGATTATACTCTTGTTGTCTTTAACTTTCTGTGTATAATGAAGAGGAAGAATCAGCACAATCAATCATGGGGCTTAAGAGAATGAGGCAAAAATTTCTTATTTATAATGGCCATTGAGATTTGGACTTGCTTGCCTAATGTAGAATAGCTAGATGCACATGCCCTTCTTCTAAAGTATGAATTAATAATAATAAAAAATACACAGTTTGTGTGTGTACATAGAAGAAATTAACGTTAATTAGAAACCACTTCTTCCATGTTGATCATATATAATATATGCTGTGTAAATTACAAGTTTAGGCAGAGATATTTGGCTTTTATAATACATTATTAAGGGAGCAATGAAGTGAAGGAATGAAGGGCATGTTTGGGTAAGTGATGAATAATGATTTAAATATAGAGTAAGTAATAGGCGGTGGTCAAACACCGCCAAGGCGCGTGATAGGTTGGCACTCCACGCACTTGTGTACTTTTCACGTCCACATTTGACTCTTCAATTTTTTTTTATATACATCTACGTATAACGTATTTTATACTTGTACGTGTAATTCAACTGTCTTTAATTTTTTACAATAAATTAACAACTGAAGCTTAATTGGATCTAAACATACTCTAAAATACTTTCTGACCATAGCTTAATTGCAATAGAGTTCAATAGTTCGACTTTAGACTCAAATGGTGAGTTCTAAATCAAAAGTCGTTATATAAAAAATTTGGTGTTTGTGTTTTTTAAGTAAGGATTGGAGTTTAATCTCCAACTAATAAGAAATGAAATTATAAGTGAAAGTATTATTTTATTTCTATAATATTAACTTAGTAGAAGAAAATTATACCTCTTAAAAATATCTGTATATTGTGTTCAACATATTATTAGGTTTAAATGAAAGTGTAAATTTTGACATAAGATCTTTATGAAATTAATAAAAATAATAGGAAACTGAGAATCTTATAAAAATAAAGTAGTTATTTTTTAGCAATGTTCAAATTTTATTTATAAAGAAAACACTCATCTTAATTATTAATTATCACTATACTTGATTGACTAATAGTAAAAGCTATATAATTAATATTAATACTATATAATTTAGAAGCCTAGCTAGATTAAGAACTTGATTGGGTTTGGAGCGTTCCTAGAACCTAGTTAATGTACAGCTGTTAATCTTGGATAGAGAGCATGAACAGTTAGTTCACTTGTATAGAACGTTGTAACTTGTAAGTTAATTGAATCATAATTTGAACCGAGAAACATGAGGAAAGAAGGGTTCAACGTGAATGTTTGTTGGCTAAGCCTTTCACATGCAAACCCTATTCTTTTCTTTTTCTTTGCGTATGGAAGTTGAACGTGGAAATTAATTATTTATTCAAGTCATATGAGAACTGGCCAGATATATTAAACAAAAATTTAAATATTCTCTAATCAGGTGCACATTCTAGATGTCTCTTTCTCTCTCTTTTATCATATGGTGTCATTACAAAAATGCTTTTTTAGGTAATTACAAGCATGCACTTATCCTCTTACAACTTACTTTCATCCTTCTTTTTTAACCTTTCTTAACACCACATATTATCACTCTTTTTTTTCTCTACATTTCTTAATTAAAACTGATTAAAAACCTCTACGTGTGAGTATCTAATAATATTCAATTCAGCTCTTTCCCTTGGCTTGGTATTGTTTTTCACTTATTCTTCTATATAATAAAAAGTATGTGAAGTTGTTTATTGTTATTCCTCCTTTAACCCTACAGGGTTGAGCCTAAAAACTTTGCAGCTTAAAGTGGTGATACAATGCATGCTCTTGACCCATGGAAATCAAAGTGGAAAATGCATGCATTTCATTAACTAATTTAATATATCCTTTTTTATACTCATTCTCATCACTTCCCACATAATTGGTGTATGTATTTTTGTTATTGTAGAATTTAGACCTTCTTAATTCTTAAAGCTCCAAATTATTGGGGTCGTGATGCACATTACGAATTTACAAAATTACTTTTACAATTCAATTTTATTTAATTGGTATGCCATTTTCGTGCCAAGACAATCTTATATTCTAAATCTATGCTATTTAAATGAAAATAATTTTATTTTATTTTATATCTTAAAACACTGTAAGAAACTTAATATATTTTTTTGGATAAACTAGATTATAAAATTACTGAAATCGCTGGTATATTACTGAAATCGCTTGTACTATATTTTTTTCTTAATTTTATTTCTGTAATAAAAAGTATTCATTAGTAAAAAGAAAATCTTCTAAGAAGCAAAAATTCTCGCATTGTTAAGTGAAGTAAAATATTTTTTCCTTTTCTCAGTTTCATTTGCTGTTGGTACAATAAGGTAAGATACATAATTTATAGGCAAAATAAATCCATTTGAATTATTGAATACGAGGGGAATTCAAATACCTAATTACAGTATGTAATCAAAATAATCATCATAGTTTAAACTTAATTTCAAGTTCAATACATATATTTGGTTTTAAAATATTGAATTTGATTTGGTTTTGTATAAAACAAAACCATATGCACACCAACCTAAAAAAGACACCTTCCCTACTTGAAAAGCACACCATTAATTATTCATACATAAAGTGGTCAAAGAAAATTGCATGGAGGGTTGGTGAAAAAAAAAATTAAGAAAGATATGGATGATGGTGTGTGATTCACTACTATTTTGCTCTGTCGTTTATGACTCAAAAATAAATAAATAAAAATGAGATCATTCTTTTAGCATGGGAGCTTTGATTTGAATCATAATATTTAGATTCAACAAAGGTGTGATGTGTGATCATGAATTGGTTTCCAAACAGCCGGTGTGATTACTTTATACGTTGATTTAATAGAATATTGAATCATCTTTCCATTTTCACTCATGATCATCATTATTGTCTTCTTGCAAAACTGGTAAATTCATAAGATAAAAATTGTTAAACATCTCACCAAAAAAAAAAAATCTTCGAATCCATTTCCAATATTTTCCATTCCTCCGCACTCCTAAATTTGCTATTTTAGCATTATATGTTACTTCATACAACCTATGGATCAGAATTATTGGTTGCATAATTTAATGGTTACCACCAATTCCTACATCATGAAAAACCTATATCTCAATAAACAAAATCATACATAGATATAATATATTTGTATCAAATCGGTCTCTATAAAAAAAATAAAATAATACTTCTAATTATTATTTCATGTTTAAGATATCAGTTAAAGTATAATATCATTTTATCATTTTTTTTTACAATAATATTACTTAATCCTTAAGATATTCATAAAATAATTGAGAATATGTTTAATTACATTTTTTATCTCTCAAATATTGTAATTGTACAATTTTAGTATCTAAGATTTTAATTGAGCAATTTTAACTCCTGAATTGTGCTATTTTAGCCAATTTCACACTACAAAAAAATTGACATCTAGTGACACACATCCTATAGTGATATTATACATGTCACTAAAAATTTCTGAGGTGCGGAGCGGGGAGTCCCGTCCTCTACCACGGATTCGGCGCCGCAGGCGGGCTCCTCGTAGAGGCCTGCCCGGACTCAATACCTATCCCATCGCTTTGGGAAGGGTATAGATAAGGTGCGGCTGGATCACATGAGCGCCTCCGCCGACATGGATTCATTGTGGAGCGCGGGGGTGACTGCGGAGGGGTTCTTCCCTCAGGGTTCGCTGAGCTCCGAGGACCGGGGATTGATAGACAGGGTCGGTCCCGAGGACAGCCTTGATGCTGCCCAGGTCATGCTGCAGAGAGTGATGGGTATAGTGAGCCACTGGAAGCCTAAGTGGGGCCAACAGCGGGAGGATTTGGCTAAGCAGCAAGAGGACCTGGC